TGTACTTATTGTTAACTGGAGTTGATTTTACATTAATCTTAATTTTTACAAAATTAAAATATATTATTAAGAATGATTAGAGGAATTATATCTAAATGAAGTTAGTTCTATAATAAGTAAAATAATGAAGAGACATGTATGGAAAGAGTTGTTATATGATGTGTAAGTGTGTAGTGTAATGATCAACACTAGCAATTGATGACGTGACATTAGTTTATGACCCTAAATAGATAAAGTTGATGGGTGCATAAACCAATGATATGACCATTAGTTGATGACGTGACACTAGTTGATATCTAGCTCATTTACTAATAAATCCGTTTAGTTAGGTTATTTATTGACCAACTCATCTTAGTCAACTCATTTAATGATCATTTTGTCTCATCATGCTAAAAACAATATGATGATTTACTCTATCGATCTTTTTAAATGATTTAATTATTTAGTGCAATAACTTGATTGGTAATCTATAAATTAGTATATCTTGAGTAAACAATATGCTTGATTAAGGAAATTAAAATTAACATATCTCAAGTAAACGGTATGATCAAGTAAATAGAAGAACTTAATTGATATGTATTGGGTAAATTTAATTTAACTTATCTTGAGTAAATGATTCAACTATTCACTTGATTTTTCTCGAGCAAAAGACATATTTTACTCACTCATTTGGTTTTGTTCGACTAATAATAACTTAACTAATCCATTTCTAGAAAATGATAAGTTCAATTAATTTATTCGAGTGGTTTATGGTCTCACTTGTTTGATATTCTTGTCTCATCCTCTTGAGTACTTCACTAATATGAATTCCTTGAGTAGATAATTGTCTAACCTACATAATGATCAAGTCATCTGATATCTTATGACTAGTTCGTGTGATTTATTTGTTTACTAGACTAATTCATTTGAGTGGTTTGATCGATTGATATGCTTGAGTGGTTTGCTCATCTAATTTGCTTGAGTAGTTTCACTTGTCTAACCTATTTATTTTCTTACTCTACTAATTCGTTGGAATGGTTTGCTGAACTGATTTGTTCAAGTGGTTTACTCATCTAATTTTTTCTAGTGATTTCACTCATTTGATCTACCTAGTGATAAGTTTGTTTGGTGTTTTCAAATTTTGTAATACTTTTAAATTTATTTGTGGCATATGAGTTAACATGACATGCATTTCTTAAGAGTTGAATGACATTAAAAATATATTTTTTTATGAATATATGCTACGAATGGAGTGGTGGAAATATGATAGTGTTATCCATAAAGATAAAAAAGAGGTGTGGATAAAACTATAGAGATATATTGATGCATAAATGTGTATAATTGGTCTCGAGAGACCTCAGGGAGAGTTTGAGAGGGTGGTTAAACTATTCAATTAATATCCACAATTTGTTTGAAAGTTATCACATGCCTCACACACTCTATTTTCTTTTTACCAATACTTTAACTACAGTTTTTAGCCATAGTGATAAAATACACACATGTTGTATCCGTAATATGTACTGCAAATTGTAGTCATTTCATACTTGCGTAAAATCAATAATAACTTAAGACACTTGACAATATTTTTGGGATATTAATATTTTTATTTAATGTGATTATAATGATATGAAAAATATTCATATAACTAATGCATGTAGTAGGATTCTATGAAGAGACTTGTATTAAATAAATGATATTATTGATCATTATATATATATATATATATATATATATATATATATATATTATGTTAATTATTTTTGGGGAATGATACTCAATCTTACACTAATATTTTTGTGGGAGTAGAGATTAATCATTATGAACTTGATGAATATCACACATGATTAAGTAGTGAGGAGATGTGCTTCATTATGTTTTATAATGAAACATGGATGTAAATAGTGAATTATCTATACTCGAGTAAAGTCAAAATTGTTAATTTAATATTATAATTTTTTTTGTTTTTAATTTATTGTAAATCTTGTTATATCACATATTAATTTTGGAACATCACATTTAATAATTTAATAGTAACAAAAACTTTAAAGTAGATCCAAACTTAATTGTGAACATCGGTTTGAGTTTGATGTGGTTTAGATTTTCTTTTAAATTAATAATGAATCAATTGACATTGTATTTGATTTTTATATTTAGTTTGAATGATCTTTGATAAGAAAAAGAAGAAAAGAACTCTAGAACAATTTTTCTCAAAGATTTCAAAGTAGTAAAGTGTATTTTTCTCTCACAATGATTCTCAAAAGATTGATAGATTGATTTCTAAAGAGTATATTTAAAATGAAAGAGAGAACCTGTTTATATAGGAAATTTATGAGGAATACTTGATAGGATTAATCTGTTAATTCGCTATTTAATTGATTTAAAATAACTAGAATTAGTTTCCAGCAAAACAAGTTTAAGTTGATTTAATTAATAAAAACGTCATTTAATCGATTAAAAATGTTCTATCCATTTTTCAGAGACGTTTTAATTGATAATAATGTGATTTAATCGATTAAAATAACTTTAGAAATTTTGTAGAGAAGTTTTAACTCAATTAAAACTGGGAACCAAATTTTTCCAAAACTCAATCAAGAATATTTTAACAGATTAAAACCTTCCTTAATCTATTAAAATTGTGAACCATGAAGTTCTTTGACTGTTTAAATAAAATTAATAGATTAAAGCGAAAATATATCGGTTAAAAACTTTACTCGAATAACAAATTATCATATTAAAATAATTTTTAATAGATTAAAAATTCTTGAGGCACTTTTTCTTTAACTTTTAAAAGAGAAATTCATGCTTGAAGAAAGGACAAGTGTTTATACCTAAGACACTTAATGAGACACACTATAAACCTCATTAACAAATTTTTTTCAACGAGCCTTCCTTTTGACTTCATCAAATCTTCTAAGATCTTTACCATAATCTTCATCAGTCTTCCCCTATTTGATGAAGACAAACAACCTAAATCTGCAAGAAAAAAAATTGTTCTGTGTGTGGTGAAGTTAGTACATGTGTTATACCTTTCAATCCTTTCTCCATTTGTCGACGTCATTCCTTCCTGCTAAGGGGAGGGGAACCGAGAAGGCGGTCAGTTGCGATGCGATGGTTTTATTGACTTGCGTTTTTGTAAAAATGTGTGGTCATCGCTCTTAAAGTGTCCGATAATCGAACTACTCTTAAGAACGAGGTTTTTGTAAAAAGGGTTCTAAGGAGTCGCCATCAATATTTTTACCATAAATATCGAAAAAGGAAAAATAAAAAGGCGTTGGTTTAAGAAAAACCAACTTTTGTCATTATAACCAGAGTTGGGTAAGGGAGTAGTTACGTGTGGGGAAGGTGTTAGCACCCCACGACACCCATTTTGGGTTCCGTATGATGGAATAATTCTAGAATAAAGACATAAAAATTATGTTTTTACCCTATTTATTTATCTACTTGCAGTAATTAAATATCTACATGACTCTAATTTCTAATGCACACATAAGAAAGCAATAAAAGAAAGCAGTAAAAGAGAAGAAATAGAAAAAAGAACCTCTGAAGCGAGCTTTTATATATCTCTTGAAAAGTTGAGGACGCTTTTTGGCAGTCTCCTCCCTCTACAAGAACGCTCATCTCCCAAACGATAAAATTATTACATTATCGAGTGTCGGATGTCTCAAAAGGAGACTTCCTTAACCGGTTTAATCCAAAAAGGATAATCGGAAAGACTACTCGGACTCTGAAACTAAGCAAAAAATGCTCTAAAAAAATGTTTCAGAGTAGGAGAGAGAAGAGAGCTCTCAATCCAAGATGCATAAGTGTGTAAAAATGGGAGAAATGAACGTTCTATTTGTAGGCAAAAATTTGCGGGTCGAGACGGTCGTCTGGATTTGGGACGGCCGTCTCAGATCGCCAAGGAGTTGGGACGTTCGTCCGGGGTCGAGACGGCCCCTGGATCTAGGACGGTCGTCCCAGCCTTCTGACAAAAATTCCTAATTTTATTTTTCTCAGAAAACTCTCCTTATTCTAAATGGAACCTATAAAATGTTAATAGGGGCCTAATGAAGTCTTGTTCATCTCCGAAACAGAGGATTTCTAAATTTTATGTAGGACGGGGCAAGATTAGGGATCTACACCCTTTTAACTTTATCAAAATAAGAAAAATCATGAATAGTTCACACGTGTAAATTAATTATAATTAAGTGATCTGGTTATAAGAAAAATCATGAATCATGCCAACACCAAAAAAAATTAAATATAACTAGTTAAAAACTATTTTTTAGTGTGTTATAGTTATAATATAAGCTATACATAATTAAATAACATTTTATATAAATTTAGCGAATAAATAAAATTAAATATAACTAGTTAAAAACTATTTTTTAGTGTGTTATAGTTATAATATAAGCTATACATAATTAAATAACATTTTATATAAATTTAGCGAATAAATATTGTAAAATATATTTTTAACCTAGGTAAAACATATATATCTTGTAGTTGAGTTTGGATCTACTAATAAAAATAAAATTATATATTTAAATATAATAGAAATAATCAACAAATTATTTATTTAATAATTGATAAAAAACTAATCATTGATAAATATATATATATATATATATATATATATTATTAATTATCAATTTTAAAATAAACAATAAAAATTTATTACATATTTTTTAATTTAGGTGTAAGAATAAAATCCTATATTAAATAAAAATGGATAAAGTAAAGAATATATAAATGAAAAATATTTACCATTCTATTAACTTACATTTTAAATTGCGTGTAAAATTAATTTTATAACTTTTATTAAGACAGATTTTTTCAATAGTTTTATAGTATTCCCAAAATTATAAATCATATAAATATCTAATAATTAATAAGAAGGTACATGGGTGCTAATTTCAATACCTTTTTAACCAGCATATAAATACATTTAATAGAGTGGGGGTGGGCACATCCTATATATATAACCTATATAACAAATTTAAATCAAAGCAGTAAATTCTTGCTATTCCTCTTCCACCTAGGATATGGACGATGAAAATGCTTCAAATATCAATCATAAAAGAGTTTTGGTCTGCACAATGTTCTACAAGTTAGCAAGCCCCAAAAAGGTACATAATTGCATCGACTGGAGCTTGTCATTAGCTTTGCTTACTCATTCTGCTGAACATTCTCAGGTAACTCTAGATTTTCTATGATTGATGTTCTGCTTGAAGGTTCAATTTAGTGCAAATAATAGAAATTTTGTCGGTTAAATCATAATATAATAATAATAATAATAATAACATTTAAAAATTATTGGACTGGTTGTGACAGTGACAAAATTATTTCTTTTTTATAGGAAAGTCTTATATCTACGTCCAAATCCAAATCGACCTTGTTGTGTCAACCTGTGTGAAGAAAAGATTCGTAATTAACTAATATTTTAACGAAAAACTCCAAATGAGAGATGTGTAAAACTGCACATTTTTTTTCTTTGCAAGTCAGTCACATGTATAAATCACATTGATGCTGATTTTTTTTTTTTTTTTTCATCTAATGAGAATCATTTCCTATCTAATAGGAACACTTTCACGGTGATTTTTTATTTTTATTTTTTCCGATTCAATATGAACCATTTCCATAATAGAAAACATATGTGTACATTACATTCAGTTCCTATCTAATAGATCTCTTTCAAGGTTGTTTGGTCTCCTCTTTTTTATTTTTAAATTTCAGTGGAATCAAATCATATTTTAAAAAAATCTGATGAAAATATTTAAGATTTTATATATGTATATTTTTATATACGAAAATATATCTCATATATATGGATATGTTTTTTATTAATATATTCGGTATAAAACAAAAATATAATAAAATATTAAATATTAATAAATAATTATTTAAATCAAAATAATAATATATTATTTATTTATTTAGAGATAATAAAATCTCTTAATACCTAATTTAAATAAAAGATAATAAAATAATATTTTTAATGTTTAAATTTGAGTTTGATATTCTATTTTTTATTCTTGTTTTCTTCCTCTTCTTTTATTTGTAATTTTTGTCATTTTATTTTTTAATTATGAACATCATTTTATTCAATCTTTTTTTGTTTATTTAATCTCTAACATGTTAAAATTTTCTTTCTTCATCTTACATTAATCTTTTCTCCACAAAATATAACATGAGGATGACATTTTCTTCTTAGAGTACTCATTTTTCTTGTTTTTCTTTGTTTTATTGTCTTTCAACACAAACAAATTCATGATAGGTTTAAACTCCTTTAACGTTTGTAGTTTTTCCATTTCAGTCTTAAACTTCTTAATTTTACGATCAAATTTTTCAAAATCTTCATCTTTTTGCTTGAGAACTTCGTCTTTAACCTTCAAGATCTCTTTGGTCTTCTTATTCTCAAGGCACATCTGTTGTAATATTTCTATATTTTTCTTTTCTTGTGGATTTTGATTTGGACTATGGTAGGATTTTGATGCAAGGGTGTCAATGATATAATCGTCTTCTATAACTTCTCATAACCTATAGATCATAACTTTCGTCATTAAAAAATTAGAATAGTAATTTTCATTCTTTGATAGCCAATAATAAATTAGCTTATTAATTTATTAATCTCATTTAACAACACTCTTTAACCACTATATAATATACAAATATCTTTTACTTACAAACCACTAAGATTAACATAATATTTTTCTTTCATATATTAACTTCAAATTTCATATATTAACTTCAAAATATAGTATAATTATAAAATTCTAATAAATTAAGATTATTTTCAAACCATTAAAAGATTAATATAATATTTTTTTTATAGGTTCATTTCAAAATATGATATAATTATAAAATTCTAATAAATTAATAGGCGATGAAATAAGAAACTCCAAACTCAAACTCTTTAGTGGATGGATTCTTTCTTAATATATGAATTAAATAAATATAATAATAAAAGAAATAATAATAAACACAATTTTATTATTATTAATCTGGGTCAAATCACTGATTTTGCTAGGAAGGGTAACTGTACCACTCACTCGTCTTGACCGATACCATAATTAATCGACAAACATGTTATAGATAAATAAATCGTCACTAAATGACAAGTTATCACTAAGCACATATAAAAGACACTTATTAACCATTTAATTACAAGAGTAAGAAGGAAGGCCTTGTTTAGTTACATATATTTTAATCTTATAATATCTAATAATTGTAAATATATATCACTCAATTATTATCATCCAACACGTGGTGTTTGTAACAAAAACTCTGTTAATTATACGAAAAATATCTGACTTAAAATAGTCTTTTTGTGGAGAGCAACGTCAGCAACAGCTGTGCAGCTGTACCAGCAAGTTCCAATGGAAAAAGATGTGTCACAATGCATAAATATAGATATTTTCGGAATATATTTTTAAATGGTTCGATGGGCAAAAATTATATTTTATAAAAAGTTATTGATGATATAATTGTTTATATGGATTATATACTGTCTAATTTAATTTTCTGTGCACATAAATAGAAAGAAAAGATTTAGATACAATATTATAAGTGTTTAGTTTATAATGTAATTTTATATTAGGAGAGGCTTCAGTTTTGATTCAACATTTAAAAAAAAAAAAAAAACATGCATACAAGGAATTATATTTCATTTTTACCCTTACGACGTTATGGTAAAGTATTTATTGACTTTTGATAAGGTTTAATAATTAATTTTCATTTAAAAGATTCGAATATAAGATACTATTTAAAATACTCAAATATATTACTACTTATATCACTATATATGTTATTATTAAATATAAGTTATACTTTAAAAAATCAATATTGAAAATAATTTTACAATATCAAATTTTGTTATCACAGATTACTATTACATTTCTTAACTTTTATAATAACTATTCTAAAATATAACAATTATAATTTTAACTAGTTCACGTTAAAAAGCTTTTATTTTCAGCAGGACATCTCAAGCCTGCTTTAAGCCAAGTTATGATATGAAATAACAGCAAAGGAGACAAGGACTTGTGTCCCCTCAAATAAGTTGAAAAACCGACCTAAACATGGACCCCTTCAACCCCCACTGAGCAGTTATTTATCTCCGAATAAAGGTCCCCTTCGTCATTATTACAAAAACTCTCTCCAATAATTTAAGATATTCATCAACTGTTAAAGTTTCTAATCACTTGACTTTTTCTCTATCCTTCACATGTGTTTATGTGTCAAGCTAGTATAACTCTAAAGGGATAAAACAAATATCAAAGAATCTTCTTTGCTATCTCTCCTTGCAGTTTCCTCCTCCTTGTGATTTTTGTTTGCATCACGGAGAAAAGCTGAGACACAGAAGATGAGAGAGATCATTAGCATTCATATTGGACAAGCTGGAATTCAGGTAGGGAATTCATGTTGGGAGCTGTATTGCCTTGAGCATGGAATTAACCCTGACGGCACGATGCCTAGGTACACTACTTTCTATGATCTTTCTGTTTTATGAGTTGTTACATGAATTCTGTATAGGGTAGGTTGTATCTTCATAAAAATTTTGTGTTGATTCATTAGGTCTTTTGACTATGGTGTATTTTTTCACTCATTTGTTGTCTTCAACATAAGAAAGCTAAATTTGATCGATTTTTCAACTGGTCTTACTTGATCAGTTAAATGTAATCCTTAAACTTCATATATTTTCCCAAGTGCTTATAGGTAGTTTTCCATTTTCCTTGTTCTCATAAGAAAGGTCTTTTGTTACATGTGGTTTAAATTATGATGTTAACCTTCATCATGCCATGTTCAATTTATTTATTTCGTTTGCTCCATTATATGGTAATGTCTGTTGAGCAACATTAATATGCTTAAATAATTCAGTTTATATTAACTTTTGGTAACTGTAACAAGGAAAAGAATAAATGCAGTACTTCATTTTCTGAATACGAGAATCTCATTTTTTTTAATTTCCACATCTCTTCAATTCGGATCAACATATTACTACTTTAATCTATAGTTATATTTTAAATGTAAATTGGAACCTTTAATTTTATTTGCTCAGTTTGGTGGAGCTATTTTGAAGTCTTGGTAGGATGTTAGATCATAAAACATTTGGTGGATGGTGGGAAATCCAAGTGAATATAAGTACATGAGAAAATTGAGTAACAAAATACCATGACCCAATGCCTTTAAGCTTTTTGGTTAATGGTAATGTCAATTCCTAATATGAGTTGGACACATATCTTATCTTATTCACGTTGTCTCTCCCTAGTCTCCTTCCAAAATCCAATGGTAGTATGATAGCTGATGGTATGTGCGTTAAGTGACAATTTAAGAGTGGTATCATAGTTAAAGGACTCACACTTGAGTGAAGGAAAAATTGAGGGGAAATCCAAGTGAGTTTAAGTCCTACATTGAGTAAAAATGAGAAAATTGACTAACATATTAAAAAAGAAAGTCTCATCACTCAATGTCTTAAGGTTTTGGGTAAAGATAGTATCAATCCGTCGTGGGAGATCAACTCATCTTGTTTTTTCCAAGTGAATCCTCTCTGGAGACCCAAAAGGCAAAGTTCATATTGAATGAATTTTATCACTTTAAACTTCTAATTCCCACTACCCTATAACTAAAACTTGATTCTGGTTTCGACGAATCCATTCTAATTACTTCTCCCTGTTCACTGGTACAAATAATTGTCATTTCTATCTGCTTGCAGTGATACTTCAGTTGGCGTTGCACATGATGCTTTCAACACCTTCTTCAGCGAGACTGGATCCGGCAAGCATGTGCCAAGGGCTTTATTTGTTGATCTTGAGCCTAGTGTTATTGATGAAGTAAGAAGTGGTAGTTACAGACAACTCTTTCACCCTGAGCAATTAATCTCAGGCAAGGAAGATGCTGCTAATAACTTTGCAAGAGGACACTACACTGGTAAGTCGTATTGTGTTGCAGGTCAAAATTGGTTATTCTCTTCGATGTTTAGCTGGACAATGCCACTTATTGTGTACCTATGCTGCAGTTGGAAGAGAAATTGTTGAACTATGCCTTGATCGTATCAGAAAGTTAGCAGACAATTGCACTGGCTTGCAAGGATTCTTGGTTTTTAATGCTGTTGGTGGTGGTACTGGTTCTGGTTTGGGATCATTACTGTTGGAACGTTTGTCTGTGGATTATGGGAAGAAATCTAAACTTGGCTTTACCATCTATCCTTCTCCTCAGGTATTTTCTTAAAATCGTTGGATAAAATGAAAGTAAAATTATCTGTTTGTGGTGCATCAAATACTTTTTAACGTCCTTTTGTCTTCTGATTTTCCAATTTCTGATTCAGTACAGTATTCCTGTAAAATGTAGTAAGATGTCCCCTATTATATTTTTTAATATTCTAAGATGCGATTTAACAATGTCAGAAAGGAAAGTACCCAGTAGGCTTATTTACTAGAGATACAGATACTTTCTCATTTGTTGCCCTACAATCTCTTGGGATTTCTTGTATTTATTGACTCATGTTTTATGTTTTTCTTATTAATTGTTTGTGTGTACATTATTGTTCATTAACCATGTGAATGCCCTTATGATAGTACTGTTTATCATGCAGGTATCTACTGCAGTTGTTGAACCTTACAACAGTGTCCTTTCCACTCATTCTCTTCTTGAGCACACTGATGTGGTTGTGCTTCTGGACAATGAAGCAATATATGATATCTGCAGAAAATCGTTAGATATAGAAAGGCCAACTTACACTAACTTGAACCGTCTGATATCTCAAATTATCTCTTCCTTGACCACTTCCTTGAGATTTGATGGTGCAATTAATGTGGACATTACAGAGTTTCAGACTAATCTTGTGCCATATCCCCGGATACATTTCATGCTTTCATCTTATGCCCCTGTAATATCAGCCGCAAAGGCCTACCACGAGCAGCTATCAGTTCCTGAGATCACTAGTGCTGTTTTTGAGCCATCAAGTATGATGGCTAAGTGTGATCCAAGACATGGCAAGTACATGGCATGCTGCCTGATGTATCGCGGAGACGTTGTTCCCAAAGATGTAAATGCATCTGTTTCAAATATCAAGGCAAAGAGAACAGTTCAGTTTGTTGACTGGTATTATACTTCCTTGGAATGCCATATTATGAAAGATTGTTTTGAATGCGTTCTTTGCCTAATGTTAGCTAGTTCTGAGACATATTCTCTGGAGTTTTCAGTTTTTCTTGAAACAAAAATCTTATAGGGTGATTTTGGTGGCAAATTTTAGGTGCCCTACTGGTTTCAAGTGTGGTATCAACTACCAGCCTCCAACAGTGGTACCAGGAGGTGATCTTGCCAAGGTGCAGCGAGCGGTTTGTATGATAAGCAACAACACAGCTGTTGCTGAGGTTTTCTCGCGCATTGATTACAAATTTGACCTCATGTATGCTAAGAGGGCATTTGTCCACTGGTATGTGGGTGAAGGAATGGAAGAAGGTGAATTCTCTGAAGCCCGGGAAGATCTTGCTGCTCTTGAGAAGGATTATGAAGAGGTTGGAGCAGAAGGTGAAGAAGAAGAAGCTGAGGATGGTTATTAAAAGCTTCATCACTATCTACTACTGTCTTTCCTTGTTCTTTATTTTCTAAGCATCATTCTTCTGTTGTGTGCTTGCTCTGTTCTTACTACTGTTTCATATAGAAGTGTTGAGTGAGACAATTCATTCCTCATGAGCAGCAGCGGTGTATTAATCATTCCGAATTACTAGTTATGTTTCGGTGAAAATAAATGCCAGGGTAGGAATGCTGCAATTTCCATTATTTAAAATAAATCAGACATATAATTTATATTTTGCAAAAATGTTTAAGTTACAGCAAAACAAAGCGAGGCACTGCAGATTTGAAATTGGCTATATTGTGTTTGCTGTCCCTGGAAGCTAGATTCGATCACATTTTATGGATGTTTTTATTAATAAATTTTATATATAATTAAATTATTTAATTAATTATTTTTAACGTAATTTTTATGATAAGAAAATAAATAATTTTATATCTAATTTATTGTCTATATCAAATATTTTATTTATTTATTTATTTATTTATTTATTTATTTTTATAAAAATAATAAATTAAAAAAATATTAAAATTTATTCTAAAGAATAGGTTCAACATAACACAAAATTTGCTAAGTTAAGAGCTAGAGAATCCATTTCAAGAAATGAGAAACAATTCGTTGAGTAAAAATATTAAAGATTGAGAAACTAAAACTTAACTGAAATTCTATTAATCGAATGAAGAAAATGTTGAGTGAAAATGTCATTTTATAGATTTTTTTTACAAGTTATATTTTATGTAATTGATTAATTATAAGTCTTGTATAAGTCTTACATGTCTTAAACATGTTTATTGGTGTATAAATATGTTTAAAAAAGTCAAAAGATATAAGTTTAATTTCATAGATTTCAAATTTTAGATCTTAATTTCTCTTTTGATTTTCTCTTTTATGTACATATTAATAACTTAACTTCCAAATTTGAATTATATAACTCTTGTATGAATTGTTTTTTTAAAGATAATTAATTCAAAATATTTTAAATCAATTTTTCTTTTACTTTCCTTTATTTTCTCCATCTAATTTTCGTTTTCATTTTATTTTACTTATTTATTTATTTTTGCATAATTCTAGGTTTTAGTTAATTGTTTTACTATTTTTCATTAAGTAATGATGTCCTAATTCGTTTTTAAAATTAATTTACTAATTGAAACTTGTTTTCTATAGTTTAAATTTGATCTTTAATGATTCTAATCATATAATCTATTATAATCAAAATAATTAGGATTATTTGATTGAATGTACCAATTTGCATCATAATTTAATTTTTAGGTTCTAGTAATTACTTGATTTAAGAATTGAGTTAAGTTTAAATTTAATTAGATTGTAAATGAAAAGAAGTTTTTTTATCTATATTGTGATTGCAAATAAGATTTAAAAATCAATGACAATCATAATAAGTTAATGATTGGAGGATCAACTTATGTTTTTTTATAGCTTTTTCATTGTTTTACTACACTTCATTTGTTTCCAATTTTGTGCTTACTTGTTAATTCTGAATTCATCTTCCCTTTAATACTTTTCAACCTTTTAATGTTTTCTAGACTTAGTTGTACTCGCTTTCATTTGCTACACTTCATTTACAATGTTTTCTTTTGATTTTCTTTGAACAATTTACATGATTTGGTATTGTAAATTTACTTTGATGCACTTTATTATTTTCTTTAATGTTTCACTACATGATTTTCTTTACTACTTTGATAGATTAGTTTATTGTTTCTTATAGATCATAGATTTATTTACTTTCTTTACAACTTTATAAATCAAAACATCTTAAATCACCCTTACTACCTAGTTTTGACAATTGGAAATTAAAATTTGAACCACATTTATCAATTATCCTAAAGGACACAACTTACGTTAACCCTAAAATTGCATTAATTCTTGTTATGCAATTTTGATTACATCTAGGTGACAAGATGCACATTGATTAAGATGGTACCATTGTCAAGGAGCAATTGATGATTGTGTTGTTTTAAAATTTAATTTTCAGTTGTTAAAGCTAGTGTATATAACTATTTGTATTATTATTTTAAGTTTATTTAAACTAAAAAAGCTTCAAAAAATTTTGCTTTCTGTCTTAATTTCACTCAGTTGTTTGCTTGTTTGCTGGGTGAATTTTTTATTTCATATTAGTTTTTCAATATTGTCTCATTTTCGCTTAATGGATATCAATTTCGCTCAGTGGAAATCCTCGAGTATTGTGTGTATTTTTTTTATTTTGTTCATTTTCCACTCAACAAATTTGTTGTTCGTTGAGCGATTTTGTTCTAGTACCTTAAGTTTTTAATTCTTGTTTTTCACTCAATGATTATGTATTTAATTGAGTGAATTTATTCTAGTGTTCGAAATTTCATTATTGCCATTATGTTTATTGAACAAGTTTTGTGATTGTTCAATTGTTTATCTTCTAGAACATTTTCACCTAGTTGTTTGTTAAACACTCAACGAATCTTGCATTTCATAAGTATGTCACTTATTAAACAAATTTCGCTCTAGCTTTCATTTCTTTGCTTTTCTGTACATTTCTTAGTTTTTATCTTCTTCTTCAATTTTTGTGATTGAATGTTACCGTCGCATGGTGCTAAAACATGTGAATTTGATCCAAAAATTGAACAAATTACAAAAAGAAACATAAGTAGAGTCCTCATCCAACATTGAAAACATGAATCAAAATAAAATGGGTGAGAAAACAATTAGGGAGTTAGTTACACCAGATGTTTCTTATCATAATATTTGCAAACAGTATGAGAATAACAAACATGTGTCATTTGTTCTTAAAACAAGTTTAATACACTTGTTGCATAGATTATATGGTCTTACAAGTGAAGATCCATACAAACACTTAAAGGAGTTTCGCATAGTTTGCTCAATCATAAAACCTTAAGGTGTTAGTGAGAATCACATTAGGCTTAAAGCATTTTCTTTTTCACTGCATGAGGGTGCAAAGGACTGACTTTAGTACTTACCTCTAGGTTCCATCACAACTTGGGATAGCTTGAAGAGGATTTTTCTAGATGAATACTTCCCAACGTCAAGATCTACCTTAATCTAGAAGGAGAGTTGTGGTATAAGACAACTTGATAATAAGGGTTTGTTTAAATATTTGGAAAGATTTAAGAGATTATGTGCAAGTTGCCACACCACAAAATAAGTGAATTACTTCTTAACCAATACTTTTATGAAGAACTAACAATTATAGACAGAAGTATGATTCATGCAACAAGTGGTGGAGCACTTGTTAACAAAACTCCCACGATAACAACACAAATCATCAAAACAATGGCTACCAATTCTCAACAATTTACTATAAGAGGCAACAAAGTTGTAAGAAGAATTTTTGAGGTGCAAACTGGTTTTTCTATGGAACATTAACAGCTAGAGAATAAATTAGACAACCACACATTCATTATGAAGAAATTGACACAAAATTAACATCAAATTGAAAGTCAAGCTACAACACACATTCCATTTTTACAACAGGACAAATTTCCATATGTTTGAAGTGTATGTAAAATTTGTACTTTACCTTCTCACATCACTCATGATTGGACATCCTTACATAACATGCTTAATGAGGATCCAAAGGTTTGTGCTATTTTTCACAAATTTCCCCTAATTCTAATGTGGATTTGAGCTTAAATAGAAATCATCCTAACCTTAAATAGGGAAATCAAGCCAATGTGATACAGCCACAACCTATGCAACAACATAATTATGTTGGATAATCATATGGTTGAATAAAAAATTATTTTAGGTCACAATAATTTTAAAGAAGGAATTTAAGTAGATCCTGCTAAAAATTAAGTGTTATTTTTCAATTACCTTATTCATCTTCTATTAAGGAGGTGAAGTCTTTTCTTGGCAGTGCAAGTTTTCATTGAAGGTTTATTAAGGATTTTAGTAAGATTGTTCTTCCTTTAACTTCATCATAAAAATGTTTTATTTAATTTTGAAGAAAAATATAAAAGTTTTTTTTTATTATTTATAGAAAACATAAAATTCTTCCCATAATTAAAACTCCCAATTGGGGTATTCCCTTTGAAATTAGGTGTGATGCTTCTAATTATGCGTTGAAAATTGCCCTTGGTCAAAGAATTTATAAAACTCTTTATGTTATTTATTATGCTTCTAAAACTTTAGATTCTATACAAATAAATTATACTCCTACTAAAAATATTTGTTAGCTATTATTTTTATCTTGGATAAATTTATATCTTATTTATTAGCCTCTCAATTTATTGTTTATATTGATCACATCCACGGTTCCCTCATTTGTTACTTTTAAAACTTTCCACATTTCTTTCATTGTTCAGACACTGTGACACCATGAAACATTCATTAAGATTAAGAGGTGTTATAATATTTTTTGCAATACAATCATATTGCACTTTCTTATATTACGCATCAGTTAATTACTGCCCAAAATTTTTAAACAACAACTTCTTTAAATTTATGTGTAGGAATATAAGGACCATTTTCGATTGTATTCCAAATACCTTTATCAACATATTCAATTAAAATTTTCATTTTAATATTCCAGAATTGGTCTTTGACTCTACAAAAATCAGATGTCTATTAATTGAAGTCCCTTTTGCAAAAGTTAGTTTGTTCTCAGTCATTGACAAACTTTTGGACCCAAACTTGAATAAATTTCAAAAATCAACTCTGATATCAATTGTTAAAAATAATGGCCAAGATCAAGAGGGTGTGAATTGATCTTTTAAAACTTATTAGAAAAACTTAATCAAATTACCAAATTCTAATAAAAAATATTAAAACTTTTATAGAATCGAGAAAAGAATACTTAAAACAAATGCAAGTAGTAAGAGAAGAGGGATAAAGAGACTCAATTCTTATATTGGTTCACCGATCCACTTGAGCTACATCCAATTCTCAGTACAACCTGTCAAGTTCCACTATAAAAATAGTCTATTACAAAAATAAAATCATTACTCGATCTACCTCAAGAGCTTCTTAA